ACACTATTTATCCCCTAAAAACAAATTAAATTGGGGCTGGCAGGTGGCGTGGTGGTTAAGGGCACTGGACTCCCACATAGCTGACCATGGTTTGAGTCCAGGACCTGGCAGCTTGCTTTCTCAATTTACCTCTTTCTCTCTCTCTCACTCTCTCCCTGTCCCTCTCTGGTCAAATTAAATAAATAAATAAACAAAGTTGAATAAAACAGATCTTTAAAAAAAACCAAAAACCAAATTAAATATAGAGACTGAGATTAATCTTTTGTCTTTTGACTGTTGAAGAAAGAGAAGCCACCACATCCCCCTCCACATCTGTCATTCAAATTAGATATTGTTAGTTTTTCAATCATTACATAACCACAGCAAGACAGCTGAGGTTATCTGTGATCATACTGAATTGCAGTTTGGTCTTACATCATTGATTCATACTGAAGGATATAGAAAAACAACTCTTTGTCACTTACAGTTGTCTTTATTGTAAGATGCTACTAAGCAGCTTTCAGATTTACTGTTTTATCAGAATCAACTGAGTCACCTGAATTGCTTTTAAACAATACAGATTTTCGGACCATCTCAAGCCTATTCAATCTGAATTTCTAGACAATGGGTTAAGACAATCTGTATTACAGATAATCTCAGGTGACCCTGATGCAGTTGGCAGGGATATGAAAACCATGACTCCGTGTCCTTTGTAAGAAGACCAAGCATGAAAGACACTACACAAACCTGGTTGAAGGTGAGACCATCACTGTCTTGTTCAGTCATTTAATACCCTGAGGGAAGTGTGTGGAAGGAGGGAAGATCTGACTTCATATTCACCAAAGACAAAGAGAGAGTCTTCTCAATTTTATTTAGAATGAACTCAGTGTAATAGAAATGCTTTAGTGATACAAAGAACTCATTCCTTAACAAAATGAGTCTTAAGGGCGCTGTGTTCTGCTTTACTTGCTTTCAACTACATTTAAGATGAAGTTGACCTGGGAGCACATTATGGGGGGAACAACAAAGCAAGTAAGTAGTAGATCCGAGAAAGTCATTAGTAATTTTAATTTGCATGAGATGGAGAGAGCTTGCTTTTGATCCAATCCTGGTATTTCTTGTTTAAGAGGATGTAGATTCCAGGCTTCTTGGCAATACCACATTTATAACCTTCAGAGACTACGGCATGAAAGACACCTTTACAGACCAACGGGCCACCAGAGTCACCCTGGAAAGAAGAAAATGGTCCGATACTTGAGAAATTGGTTGAGCTTTTTCTACCACCAACTGTTGATTGATCAAAGGATTATTATCTGGGTCCTTAGTTTCTTTGTGTCCTAAAGAATGCCAGACACAGCCCCTTACTCAGTATAAGTGCTCAATGGCTGTGTCTCTGTGAAGGACTGTGCTCTGTCTTTCTCTTCCACGTCTCTGTTTATGACTCGGCCTGTGACTATGATGCACCTGTATCTCTGTCCACAGCTCTGTCTCTGTACTATCTCTATTCTATGTATATGTCCATTCCTTTGGTGATTATTAAACTTTATTCATTAAAGAATGCATAGCAAAAATTTGAAATAAGCCACCAAAATAAAAAAAATAAAATTTAGTTTTGAATTTTACTTTGGGGCTTACAGAATGGAAATCAAGTTGCTATTGAGACCAACAGAAAAATGTATTGTAGTGTCTTGGTTGGAGGAACTATCTCTTCTCTAATAGTTTTTTCCTTTTTTTAAATTTTGCATCCTCATATAGTTGAACATAGTATGTATATATACCACACTCGATAAATTCTTGTTGAAGGAAATGATATTTGAGGACACACAAACAACAAAACATGTAAGTAAATTCTGTCAAGAGAAGTGAAAAAGTTATAGAGGGGATGACATGGACTTTCAGTTGGCTTCTTTTTTTTTTTTTTTTTCCATTTTTCCAGAGAATGTGTGCATTTGCCAGGGAGAGAGAAAGGGAGAAAGCACCTCTCTCTCTACCACAGGGGGCATGGTCATGTTGCCATGTCTCCTCCTACATTGCTCCCTCCTTTCAGAATTTTGAGTATGCATACACAGGCAACTATATGTTTTGCAAATGACGTGTTTGGCCATGTGAGTTCCAGATGCCTTAATATCATACCACAGGCTGGTCCAAAAGTTGGCTTTTAAATGTGAAAAGCAACCTTCGCATCTGCTGCCAGTTACACTACAAACCGTTGCACCTTGCATTCTGACCAGTTGTGATAATAGGTGTTCAGGGGGCTGGTAGCCGTAAGACATTGCAGATCCACAAGACCTTGGACTCTTCTCCCAATGATGCTTACTATAGCATGATGTCAATATTGAATTCTAATTTTTTAAACATTTGTAATCCATCTCTGCTACATCTTACCTATAAACATGAACCCTAAACTTTCTTTCTTTTTTATGCTATCTCAGTAAACTGACTATTTTGAAAAATATAACTCTTGTTTCTTTATATCAGTCAGTGCCATGGTCTGAATGGTTGTATTCCCCCACCAAATTCATGTGTTAAGATCCTCACCCTGAGGTGATAGGATTAGAAGGTGGAACCTTTGGGAGGAGAAGCCCTCATGTGGAGATTAGTGTCCTTATAAAAGAGGCCTGAGGGATACCCCTTGCCCTTCACTAAGGTGAGGTTCAAGTAAAATCAGGTTGTCTGTGAACCAGAAAGCAGACCCTCGCCAAACACTAAATCTGCCAGTGCCTTGATCTTAGACTTCCCAGCCTCTAGAATGGTGAGAAATAAGTTTGTGTTATTTTTAATCTACCCAGTTGATGGTATTTTTCAAAGCAGCTCATATAAACTAAGATAGTAAGTTGACATAATTTAAGGATTTACACTCTATATTTGAGCTTTCCATTTGAGTCTTCTACAATCTCCCTGTTGATTGATTTAAAAATTGGTTCCCCAGGGCCGGCAGGTTGCATGGTAGTTGAGGCATTGGACTCCCCATATGGGCAACCACAGTTTCAGTCCTGGAACTGGTGGCTTGCTTTCCCTCTCTGTCTCTCTCTGGTCAAATTAAAGAATGATAGTAAATCAATAAAATTAAATTAATAGTTCTTTGTGAAAAAAATTGGTTTCTCCTTGACTAATTTATCTTTTAATTACCATTAGTGAATTCAGGTTGGTAGACTTTCTAAGGCTGGTAATGCTTCTCATAGGAAGTCTGTAAAGTTGTTCATATAGTTTTTCATCTTGACTAATAAACATTTAATAACAAGTTTTTTTAAAAAGAATTATTTTATTTAACTTTTATTTATTTACTTATTATTATTTTTTAAAAAATAATAATAAGTAAATAAGGGATAGCGTGAGAGAGTGAGAGAGTGCAAGAGCAAGTTACCAGGCCTGGGATCAAACCGCAGTCGGCCATGTGGAAATCCAGCGCTCTTAATCACCATTGCCACCTGCCGACCCCAAGAATTTTTGTTTTTTGCTTTTTTTTTAGAGAGATTTTTGCTTTAGGGTATGTGTGCTTGCTGGAGAGAGAGAGACAGAAAGCAAGAAATTACCCCTCGGGAGGATGGCCATGCCTCAATCTCTTCTCAATTCTTCTCTCAGGATTTTAGACATGCTCACAGGTGTGAGCAGCATGTTTCAAGTCACTGGATCCAGGACTTGAACTGCAGTTGGCCATGTGAGAGTCCAATGATGTGACCATTACGGCATCTGCTGGTCCCCAATAAGAGCTCTTGTAAGCACTGGGGTTGTGACCCATTCACACTAGTAGATGAAAAGTAATTGAGAGCTGTGCAGGAAGGGGAGGGGAATTTTAGGACTGGGGTTTTGTATTCTCCATGCCTCTCCTCTTCAGTTAGTGAACAAATGGAACCTTGAATGTAGTAATGTGCTCTTAGATGCCTGTTTGCATGAAAGACTTACCTGGCAGGAATCCTTCCGGCCTCTGGCATCTCCTGCACATACCATATCTTGGGTTATAAAAGGGTTGCGGTTGTAATAACTTGGGCTGTTGCAAAGTTTTCGACTTATGACAGTAACAGTGACTTCTTGCAGTGTGTCAGAGGGGCTGAAGGCATCTGGATTGGTAGATCCCCAGCCAGTGACTTGGCATTTGGCTCCAGCTCTAATATAGTGTTTGGATCTTAGGTGGAGCAGCTGGACATGTTTGTCAAGTTTGGCGGCCGTGTGAAGCTGACAGATGAAAATAGAAGAAATGATCATTCTTTCTCAGTAGTATTCTGCTATTAGACTGTGCATTGTATGTGTGGTCTTGCTGTTTTAGGAGGGCATCCCTTTTCTTGAATCTACTTTGGTGGTAGCCTGCAGCTGCACTTGTGGTTGTTGCTTTTCGGACATGCTCTCCATTCCCTGTGGAGCTCACTGATGCTTGGGAGGGAGCTAATACAGAGCAGGAATTTGGCCCAGTCTCGAGCAAACCGGCCTTTGCCCTGCATCGGATGATTTTTCTGTGGAATAACATCCATAGGTCATGACTTTGAGGGCTGGGCTATTTCCTGCTGGATAGGACCCCTCAGTATGGTCTAGACTAAGTTTGGACTGGGCTAAGTATGGTCTAGACTAAGTTGTAACTCACTTCCGAGTTCCTAAAGTCACTTGGTTGGCTCTGATGTCTGATGTATAAATGACTGTTGTATTTTTCACTCGCTAATGAGGAAAGCATTTGGGAGGAAAGCTTTTAATGCGGATCCTTGGATGTTCCCCTCCTACAAATATGAGCATCAGATTTAATTTCCTTGCATAATCATAGTCTTGATGCATTTGTGATAAGGTCTTGTTCCTTTTAAGGCAGTATATAGAGTAATAGGGGCCCATATGGAATATGTCACAATCACCTCAAACATGGGAAAGACGTGAACAAAATGCTTTTGTGTAACTTAATGACCTGAGCCACGTTGTGTAAGAATGTTGGAGAAATTGAAGGAAGGCATCATTACCTACCTTAACCAGCATGATATCATTTGATAAAGAATTTGGTACAAATCTTGAGAAAGGTATGAATTTTTTAACCTCAAATGTTTGTTTGGAGGTTTCCTCCTTTGAGAGAGAGTGTGCTCCCAAAACTACTGTGGGAGACTGGCCTTTGGCAAACCTGAAAAAGCAAAGAGAAAGAAAATAACAGAATTATTTTCAAATGCCCCAGTGGGAAGAAGAGATGGTAGAAAAGGTGATATACATACATAATAAGGGTCCATCTTAGTGGACCTCAGCATGAAGGCAAGTCAAAGGACCAATGACTTGCCTTCTACATCCCCCAACTCCAGCCTCATTTCCCAGCATTGCAAAAGAATATCAGAACTTGTACCTAGTTGTGTTGGGGGGCGGGGGAAGGGTGAAATCCTAATTGACTTACATCAAGTTACAACAAAATTGTGTTCATTTCCATAACCTATGGCATACAGAGAAAGCAATCATAAGAGGGAACTTTGTATCAACTAGTGCCCTTAAGAAAAAGATGGAAAGGTGGCAAATAGACAACCTAACAACGCACCACAGGGAATTGGAAAAACAACAACAAAATGCTCCTAAAAATGCCATAGGGAAGAAATAATAAAGATTTGAGCAGAAATAAATGAAATAGAGAATAAATAAGCTATACAGAAAAAAACCCCCTAAAACCTGGTTCTTTGAGACCATAAACAAAATTGACACACCATTAGCTAGACTAATTAAGAAGAGGAGAGATAGGACCCAGATAGATCAAATCAGAAATGAAACAGACAATATTAAAACAAGCATAACAGAAATACTGAAGATTATTAGTGAATACTATGAGTGACTATACTCCAACAAACATGAAAACCTGGATGAGATGGACAAATTTCTGGACACATATAATCTACTTAGATTGAGTCAGGAAGACATAGAAAACCTGAATAGACCAATAGCAAGCAATGAGATTGAATCAGTAATAAATAACCTCCCAACAAAGGAAAGCCCAGGGCTCAGTGGCTTCACTTTTGATTTCTACAAAACTTTTAAAGAAGAGCTAACCCCCATTCTATTCAAACATTTCTAAAGATCCAAAAAGAAGGAACCCTCCCAAATTCATTCTATGAAGCCTCCATCACTTCCATCCCCCAAACAGACAAGGACGTAACAAAAAAAGAAAACTACAGACCAGGCAGGCTTTGTTCCAAGGAGGCAAAGAGTAGTTCAACACATACAATAAATGCAATGTGCCATATTAACAGAAAGAGAGATAAAAACCATATGATAACATCAATTGATGGAGAAAAAGTATTTGATAAAATAAAACATCTTCATGATTAAGACTCAGAAAAATCAGCATAGAGAGACACTTCCCAACATAGTAAAAGAAAATTTTATTTCTTGAGTTTGTGGCTTGAGATTTATACCAACTAGTGTTGACGGTTTCTTTTCCTTTGTGGTTAAATATACATAGCAAAATTTTTCATTTTAACACTTTTAAACTTACAGTTCAGTGGCATTAAGTATATTCATATTGTTGTTCATCTCTCCCTATCATCCATATCCAGAACCTTTTCATCTTCCAAATTCGAAGTATTTTAATAACTAGCAGAGTATAGACCCAACTCTGTGCTTACTCATCTGTGTGTCTAGACCTCATTGCATGGCAACATGGGGAAGCAAAACTCATTATATGGTGGTCAGATTTGCCCACAGGTCCTCTCCCCTCAGAAAGAAAGAAAAACTTTCCTCAAGGTGAGAAAACATTGCTAACTTGGGCCAGTAGGTAAGGTGGAGGTTAAGATGGCTGGATCCCACATGGCCCACTGAGAGCCTGGGGTCCCAAACCTGGTGGCTTGAAAAACACGCCAGGTGTGTGTATGTGTGTGTATAATCCCAAATCCTGAGAAACAAATGAAGTGATTGTGGTGTGGCTATCCCTCCTAGGGGGAGATTTCTCACTTTTCCTCTCTCTGGGGCAAGTACATACACCCTATAGCAGGCAAACGAACATTGCTAATTTGAAATAAAGATATTTTAAGCTTAGTAGCCATCGATGATTCTATTGTGGAGATTTAGAGGATACAAAATGGTTAGTCAGATGAAGAAACACACACTCCCACATATATAATTAGTTTTTAAAATCAGACATAGTTCTAGTACTAGTGTTCAATAGTACCATATTGATTTGACTTACTGCACATTTGATAAAATTACATTTATAGCCAGTGACGAAAATAGAAATGGTTTTTGGAGATCCTGGCAACACTCTGGAGCCATTTTTATACTGCAGATACATCCATTCCAATGTGTCTTTATGGAAATGAAGACAAATCCTTTCTTGAAAAAATGAAGGTTGTAATAGAATTACATTTATTTACACATAATGATTTCTCTGCTACTTGAAAAATGGATAAGGGCAGATTACACCAAAAATATGCATACCCATGGGTACTGATTAAGAAAGATTAAGAAAATGAAAAACGTTTAGAAAAAGGAAGACATTATTGTTTTAGTTTTGGAGAATGAGCACATGACTATGGTGGGGGGATTTTTCATGTGACAGAAATATGACTGGGTGGAATTAGCACTGTTTGGTTTCTACCAAAATAGTTTATTTTGGAAATTCCAGCTCTATTTATTGAAAAGTTTGCCTATTGCAAAATGAGGATGGTGATGAAATTTTTCATAGGATGTGGATTGGATTTCCTAAGATTGATTCAAATTCAAATTCAACATAACCACTAAACCCAAAGCTTTGGAGGGGAAGGATGATATTAGATCCCCAGGATTAATGTTCGAACAGAAAAGTGAAAATGACTCACACCAGGAAGGCTGTGAAGTACAGACGCAGAGTGTGGAAAGAGGATCTGATTGGGGGGGGGGCTCTGAAAAAATGTCTGATTTTCTTTCATTTTTTTACTCATTTCCTTGACTGGTTTTTGCCTTTGAAATGTTTGTTTTTGTCTCTTCTAGGACATGTTAATACCAAAAACAATTCAAGGAGACCATTGTTCTTTCTGACTTTAATTTCTGGATACCCTTCAACTGTAACCTGTACTACGAAAGGCAATTTTTCTGCTCACAGGATACCTGAATTACCTGTTTTAGGATCCAATCTTCTTAGCTAGACCTAGATCTGAATTCATGTAGAGGAGAAGTAATAATACTAGTATTTTTTATTTGTACAACAGAAGTGTGGTCTTCCAACTGCTTCAGAATCACCTGGAGGTGTTTGTTTAGATTGTAGCTTCCTGAGTTCCCGGACTCACCGACAGCAGAACTGCTTATAGAGCAGAACCATAGTATTGCGCTCAGCAAGTCTTTTCACTGTCAGCTACAGGTGTCTGTGAACATCATCCCCACTGAGCCCAACAATAGCTTTTCTCTGTATTGGTAAAACCAAAGGGCTGTGTGTTCCTCACTTGTAAAATAGTGTTCTTTAACTGGCCCATGGAACACATCTCCTAAGTAGGGAATTAGGATCCCAGTGGGGCTTTGTGACTCCAAGTCTAGCTCTCTTTCCTTGGCATCTCTTTAAGTTCCATGCCAAGCCCCTTCAAGCCTCTTATTTCCTCTGCAAGCCCTACTTCTTAAGGCCAGTGAAGTCTGGGTCCTTCTTTCTTTCTTTTTTTAGAACTATTTTTAATTTAAATTATTATTATTTTTAAAAATTTGCTATAGAACATATGCTCTCACCAGAGAGAGAGAGAGGGAGGGAGGGAGAGAAAGAGAGAGAAAACAAACTTGGCCATGTGAGAGTCGAGTGCCTTAACCACTATGCCATGTCCTGGCCCGGGTCCTTATTTCTTGGAGGTTTCTCTTGGGTAAGAGAGAGAAAGATCTAGCAATCAGAGAGAAAGTTTTACCCAGTGCTATCCCACTAACTCAACTGAATTATCAGGTAAGTTCCTCGCTTAGTACTGTGAGAAGCACACATAATAATATTAACAATACTTGATAATGTGTATTGAGTCATGTTCTAGATTATGTTCTAGCATTTAACATATTTCCTCTTATTTAAACTTCTCAACAATTTTGTGAGTAGGTATGATGATGACTCCATCATATAGATGAGGAAGTTGAGGGTCAAGTATTAATACACTAACAAACTTGAGAATGTTTCATAGATTTTAAGTGAAGGCCTCCAGGTGCAAACCCACACAAGACCAAAGCTCAGCTGGTTTGAATCTAGAGCCTGGACATGTAGCCATTTACTCTAGGAGCCTTGGGAGTTTGAGATGAAGTAAGGGTGTAGAAGGTTCTATTCCCATGCAAGGTAAGTGAGAAAGAGAGAAGGGCTCAGTGAGGGAGGGCATGGGGGAGACTTAGGACAGTGGGTAACAGGTGGTAAGAATTTTGCTTCTGATAAGTTAACATGCTAAAAATAAGATTATATAGGAAGTTTTTGACGATTGACATATAGTCCTTTTATACTTGACATGACAACGAACACAGGGGCCAAGATACTAAGGGAAGGATCGTGTGGATGGGTGGTAGGAAGGGAGCACCCCTGGATTTGGCCCACTTCACTATTTTGCTGAGAGAGGTCTTGGGTTAGTAGACTATTCCCACAGGATACTTGGGAGTACATTTGTGGGAAGCCACCATCAAACGATTTCATAAATATTTTGGATTTCGTAAAGCTTAATATTTTTCTAAGTACTAATCTGCCTACATTTTTACACCCAAGTGTTCTGTAGAGGAAACTCGATCCACATATTTTGAAGTTCTTTATACTCTAGCCATTTAAAATGACATTTAGCAATAGTTTTTTTTTTTAAGTGAAACTCCAAAAACTTGAAGTATTAAAGTCTTCAGTCTTTTTAAAAAAATTTAATTTAATTTTGTTCATTGTCATTATTTTATTTTATTTTATTTTTAAAGTTGACCAGAGAGGAAAGTGAGAAAGCAAGCTGCCAGATCCAGGACTCAAACTGCAGTTAGCCAGATGAGAGTCCAATCACCCTTATCACCATGCCACCTGCTGGCCCCTCAGTCTTTTTAAAAATGTAATTCTTTTTCCAATTTTTTGACTCTACTTCTCCTGAGTTAAGCCTACTTGATACAATTTAAAATTCAATTTAATATTATGTACCTTCCTATAGTACTTTATGGTTTACAAAGGACTTCAAACACCATGTTTTAGGCTTGGGAAAAAAATTCTCTTAGTTTTTTTTTTTTTTTTTTCATTCAGCATTTATGGAGCATTTATAAGACAAGCTCTGTGTCTGGGGAGTTTTTATTTCATTTGAATGTGAACTGTAAGCATATATGAAGATGTACATATTTTTCATCGAAGGAATATTTAAATCACATATGTATGTATTTGTGTATGTATTTAATTTTGCCAGAGAGCATATGTGCTTGTCAGAGAGAGAGAGAAGGAGAAAGAACCCTCCATGGGAAATGATCACGTGGCAATCTAATCTCTATTTCTCCCTCTTTAGGACTTGAATGGTGTGGTCAGGTATGTGAGAGTCTGGTGCCTTAGCCACCCTGAACAATCACTTATTGTCACCCCTGCCTTGCTAGCCTTGAGGGGGCAATGCCCTTGAGAGGAGAGACGTGATGGTGATGTGATGATGATTTCTTTGAGAGCAAGATCTCCCTTCAAATGAAGTAACCATATTAAATTAGGTATCAGCGGCTTGCTATTTAGAAATAAAACAGAAGTTCTCCCTGCTTGCAGGTATCAAAACTTCTGATTTGTGGGACCAGCAGTTATTGTAATGGCTATGTCGCTGGATTCTCATGTAGTTGACTGCGGTTCGCGTCCCGGACCCGGTAGCTTGAAACTCACGCCGGGCGCGTGTGCATGCGTGCCCAAGATCCCGAGAGGAGAATGGAGGAGAAGGGATTGCGGCGTGGCCATCCCCTCTGTGGGGTGATTTCTCACTTTCTGCCTCTCTGTATCTCTGTCTGGTGAGTGCATGTGCCCTATGGCAAAAACTTCTCCAAAAAAAAACAAAAACAAAAAAACCCAAAAAACTTATGATTTGTGTCCAAATAGTTGTAATAAAATGGGGTAACTAGACAAAAGTCCCAAAGCATGGAGAAGTGAATCATTTCAGTTTTACAGTTTAAATATAGTGAAGTCTAGAAAGCAAACCATTACGGCTAAGATGGATTCTTACGTGAAGTAATGGCAGATTTACTAGTAGATTAGTTTTCTACTACTTCTCCTCTTATGATGGTTGTAGCATCCCAAGATGGGTTTTTGTACTTTATTGACTGAAATAAGAGAATCCTAGGCTGAGTGGGCTTCAGGAGGTTGTACTCCATCTTTTGAAAAGTTTTCACTCTAAGTACCCCCTAAAGTAACTATCTCGTTCTCTCTCTTTTCCCCTTTTTTACAAATAACCTGTAACATTTCTTTTCCTACCTGAGAAAGGTGCTGCCTCTTATAGTTGTGATTCAAAATTGAGCCTCAGACACCTGGGGTCAGGAGTGGGGTTAAGAAGTTAATGTAAGGAGTCTAGAAATCTATTGGCAAGGCAGGCTTCTAATACTTATATGATAAGCATAATAACTACAATTTATTTGTAGTTACAAAATGTGCCAAGCATGCTTAAATATTTAAACAGATACTACTTCTTTAAATCTGCAAAGCAGGTACTAAGTAGTATTATCATTACCACCTATTTGCAAAATGGGGGAGCTGAAAGCCATGGAGCACTCGGGTCCTCTGATTTCCTCTCGAGCAGTAGGATCCAATGAGGTCAGGGATAGCGAGCAGTAGGACCAATGAGGCCAAGAAGACTGCTGCTTCGGTTCATACTGTGGCTGCACTGCATTCCCTGGCATTGTATGGAGGACTTGAATTTGCCTAATGGTTTGCCCTGGGAAAGGAAGCTCAGCTCTTCCTGAAAATGAAAACCCAGTGCAGAAAATGTGCATGTGTAAGAGGGTTAATAAACCCCATCGATTGCTCAGTGATCACAGAAGCTAACAGAAGATAAGGTTCTCTCCCAGGAGACACATACTTCTATTCTAGCCAATTTGAAGGGAAAACACATCCATGAAAATCACAGGGACTCACCGAGGGTGGCAGTGGGCGGCAGTCAGTACCCACTGTGGATTGATCAGAACTCCTCCACACGCGTGCTTGCCATCATATTGGATAGAAGCCATGAATGGCCTGGAATGAGGTGATACTTCTTTTCCTCCAATAATTTCCATATTGGAACCTACAAAAGTAAACCAAAAGATCTTGCATCAAAGACCCAGATTGTTTTATGTCAATCTTCTGAAGACAATCACTCTTCAAAGATTAAAATACAATGACAATCCTACCTAACAGTTATGGTAGTTTTACTGATGAAGAATTATATAATACATTGTAGTTACGAGGGATAGAAAGGGTTCTGAAAATTATTTTTATCTATAATATAACACTATAATCACTAGAAATTCATTTAATATTCATGTGTGGTAGGTATAGGAGATACTTACACTCTGGAGTCATATAAGCCCCTGCTATGAGGAAAAGCAGAGAAAAAGAAGAAAACCTAGTCATTTTAACGAATTAGATTTAAGAAGCCCAAATGAAATATCCTGACACTAGTAAAGGAAGAAGATTCTGAAGACTGAGTTTTGTTCTTGCAGAATTTAATTTTCTCACAACAAGTGCCCTAGAGCTAAGATTTTTCACACCTCAGTTTAGAAGTGCGTATCAGTTTGGGGAGTTTCAGGTCTGCACGTTTTGTGCTTTCTTGAAAGAGATATGTGAGCAATAAAGAACTCATTTCTGGAGGTAACATCTTCAATATTACTCATGTTATGAAAAAAGAAACAAATACCCATAAGAACTTAATGAAGTTATGGAAGAGTTCAAAGATGTTCGTTGCTCTAAAGCTATACTTACTGTTTTTCCCAGCAAAAAATTGTGCTACAATAGTTCTTACTTATTTTTCATTTGGACATAGATTTATGGTGTGGAGAGATCTTGACCAGATCATGGTCATCTTACAATGTGGGTTAGCTAAAGCCTGAACGCCATTCAGTGAAACTCATATGTTTCGCAGCAAACCTCTTCCTAGTCATTGCCATTTTCTCAAAATATGACCAAGTTTGGTTAAATCTTAGTTACATTTTTGAAAGATATCATAATGCTATTAAAGGGGAACATTGGCTAAATATTTTTGATTCAGTCGTTCTTTTATTCTTTTTTAATTGGACATGATGGTGTGTTTATTCAGGGCCTTAATAATCATTGCTTTTAGAAATTAAGGACTGGATTTCATCATTCTCCTAGGAACAGATGGCAGGGCTTTTCCAGGTCTTTCTAAAGTACTTTCTGCTTCACTACAAAAGGTAATAGACTTAAGATTCTGCAAGACTCTGTTTATGCTGGGTACTTATCAACAGTGCAAGTGTTATAAATTACATGTTAGTGGGTAAACCAAGCACCAGAACTCTAATTGCTTTCTAGAAACACTAGTCAAAATTTGTACTGAATTGATAGATCTTATTTTTTCTAAGATATATGCATTCTGTCTTTCATGTTTTTTTTTTTTTTTTTTTAAAGGGGAATTAAAATCCCAGGGCCACTTGGCTGGGAGGTAAAAGA